TATCAGCAGAATTATATATATATATATACTGCTGCTGCTTTTCAGATGATATTAGTGTCTCCCTGGCCAAGCGTTGTCACCCGCCAAACGCTGTGCAAAGCGTGGAGGTTGTGAGCTTGAATCCCACTGTAATCCTGTATGTTTCTTGGTGCTATCCTTCTTTTTGACAAAGGTTTATAAGCCTAAATTGAGCTTTCAAGCCTGCAAATGTTTGTAATTCTTATAAACCAAGCCAATACACAATGAGATTAAAATTGCTAGCAATAAATGTCAACGCTCATTTCGGTCGATCTGACATCAAAAATGACATCATTTCTCAAAGTCTAGAAACATGACCTTTCAAGTTGTGTCAATATTTCACGCACCAATATTTACCTTCTAAAACATTCGTTTGCTAAAAAAAAATTAGTTGCATGGAGTTAATATAGAAGTATTTTTATTATTTTGCTCAACCCCTTTATTTTCAATATTAAGTGATAATTTCTTTTGATTTTAAATTTAGAGGTTCCTCTAGTTGTCAAGTTTACAGATGAAATAGCTCAGTTTGGTGATATTTCTGGCGGAAAGGGATCTTCTTTGGGAAAGCTCACAAAATTGAGCCGAAAAGATAAATCGGTAACTATGAGAAGAAAAGAAAAGAAATATTTTTCATTAACCTTAAAAATAAATATTATTTCAGAAAAAAAAATGAAAAAATTGGCAACCGAATAAAAAACCTAATCTGATTTCATAAAAAAAAGTTACTCGTAATTTCGTTAAAGAAAGGTAGGAAATATTTAGCAAAAAATTTCACTTATTTTCAGAAAAAAAATAAATAGTTTTGTGCTAGTAACATAATTGGATACTTGCACTTCAAGAAGAAGAAGACCACTCATACACCCACATGTGATCCATGACATCAAGCCAGCTAATCTTTATCAGCAGAATGTCTTATTAAAGTTAAGCTAAGTTACTCTACATAAGTTATAATTAATGATAATTTAATGAAATACAGAGCCGTATCGGACATCGATTTAGTTGAAATATAATTCTTTCGCATTTACTTCTTTTACTTAATTTATTATTTGCTTAAGTATTTTCTTGTAACCGTGATATGTGTTTGTTTTATAAACCTGACAACTGCGATGCATAATTAGATTGCTTATGTTTCACGTGCCTGTTCTTCTGATAAGTCTCTGTGTAAATATAGTGAATATATTGAAGGAATTGAAATCTTTGCGAAAGAAGAACTTAAAATATGTCAACTTCAGAGAATTGATACTTGACGGGTTGTCTTATTCGAAATAGAATGTAAAGAACAGTTGCTGACGCAAACAAATGCCACGCTTCAACAACCAATCAGAATCAAGATACCCACGCTACGTCACTATCCCATTATTCTTTATTTCAGAAGAATTGAAATGAGTTTTATTCGCAGTTATAGCTACTCTTAATTTCAAACCAAGCTGAACTGTTTTTCATTTGGGTTGAAAACTATGCCTAATTTAATTAAAAAGTTAAAATATTTCTTTCGCATTAAAAGCTTCATTTGGATTTTTAAAAAAAAGAAGTTTAAATATTTTTCCTTCTCGTAAAAACTACACTTATCATTTTATTTATTTGCAAATATAACTGTTAGACATAAAATGTTCGTGAAGCCCACAGAAAAATATTTTTAAGCAATTTTTAAAATAACGTGAATGTTTTGCAATGCTATTTTCAAAAGCTTGTGATTGTTGTTTTGTCTGATAATGAAACGAAAATAATACAAAACTGATATTTTTATTATATTTTGCAGTTCATTGTGCCTAAAGGGATTATTGTTACAACATCAGCATATGAAGAGTTTTTGACCCCTGATATACTGAATGGAGTGAAAAAATTGGAAAATGTTGCTTAGTGAGTGAAATAAAAGGTTTTTGAATAAATTCAAGCTGTTAGGATTTAAGTTTTATACTTACTTAACTCCACGAAAATATTTCTATTGTATTTAAATGTAATACATTGAATAATTATAACGATTTCCTAAAAATATCTATTGTACTAAAATATTTCCAGTGTAAAAATATTTACTGATTGGTCGAAACTGATTCACTAGCTCTTTATAAGGCCGTGGTAGGTATACTTACCTTCATTTTATTAAATTTTAAAGGTCGATGAGAAACTATTTACCCACCTATGATTTATACTGTCATATGATAAAATTAAAACCCCCAAAAAATATCAATGAAGAGTACACAATTTGGAATTTAAATAAATGTAAGTAACAGTAAAGATTTGAGTGAGATCAAGAAATATGGCCAACACTGGTGAGCAATTTTCTCTTATACGTTATGCATTCGTTCTTTTGATTTTTTCTCATCGAAACTATTTGTAGTAATAAATACGAATTTATAAGTTCCATTATTTGTAAGTCTATGGCCATATAAAAAAAAAGGGTCTTAAAAATAGACCTAATTTCAGATTGAATTTCTTTTTATTAATTAATCTCAATATCAAACATATTTTTACATAGCATTAGTATAAAAAGCAGGCATATAAAGGGTTAAATCACAGTGCCTATGAATCTCTGAAAATACTTTAATATGTTTTTAATATTTTGAATATTATGTGATACATGTAAAAAACCTTTTTCATTATATTTCAGTGGTAAGATTGAGGGAGATATAAAACAAGAATGTGAAGTGTAAGTAAATAAATAATTTTACTGTTTGAAAACATCCTCTTTTAATTAAAAAAAAAGAATATTTTGCTACCCGTTATTTTGAAGTTGACTTTAGCAAATAAGCATAGTTAAGCTTAATACGAACTTACCTTTGGAGGCCCATTCACATACCGATAAAAACTCACCGCAGCGAAAACAACACAGAAGAGCTCAGCAATTCGTAAACTCGTCGGCACAAGACCTTGAGCCAGGCATGATTTTGAGAGCATCAGTCAAGTGGATGAGCAAAAGAGACATGCACCGAATCCAATTACATATGCAAGCAGCCCTCTCCGATTGCCAAGTTTCTGTCAGAAAAACAAGTCGACATCAGCGGGACAACAACCATTTCGTGATCTACGAGAACGGCCCCCCTGCTAAAAAGTCTTACGAAGCATTAAACTATTTATTAAAAATGTATAAAGTTTTCAAAAATATAAAACAATAATTAAAAGGATAGCTGATAGTAGAATTGCAAAATTGAGTAACAAAAGATGAAGGTAGGGGGGCCTCAGAAAAGTCTCGTGTTGCTTTGGCGTTTAATGTCTAGCTAATTTTCCCAGTTCAAACTCCAAGACGCACTACTGAAGTTTAGAAAACATGTAGGATGTTTCAAAATTCATCAGACAAATCAAGAAGCAATAAAAGGCTCTTTAAGGATAGAACCTTGCCATAGGAAAGGGGAGTTTCCAAACGCATTAAATGCGTGTAGACCCATTAAGATTAAAATGTCGGAAAGCAACTACAAATGATACTAAAAAATTTTTTATCATAAAAAGAGTGCAAATAATTATTACAAGAGGCTTTTCCGAAGCTACAACCACTGTCCTCATGGGTGTACAATAATGTAAAATCTATTCCCAGATGAGTTCATGGATGACTATTGTATTTATAAATCTGCTGAAGCGACGAAAATTCGATGCTATGGTCTTCGAGCTACTCCATGTTCTATATTTTAATTTTTTATGCCTTTTTTTAATCTCTTTGATTTTCCAGACGAATTTCAGTTCACCTAAGTTACAAAATTGCTTACTTNGGGTGTACAATAATGTAAAATCTATTCCCAGATGAGTTCATGGATGACTATTGTATTTATAAATCTGCTGAAGCGACGAAAATTCGATGCTATGGTCTTCGAGCTACTCCATGTTCTATATTTTAATTTTTTATGCCTTTTTTTAATCTCTTTGATTTTCCAGACGAATTTCAGTTCACCTAAGTTACAAAATTGCTTACTTTACTTTTGTATAATTCGTTTTGTCTAATAAGTTTTATGTGCATGCTGGTTAAATATTTAAAGAATGGATTGTTTTCAATGCCCTGGAATGTAATGTCCTGAAAGAATTTTCTTAACCTTTTTTGAAATGACAAAAATGATAATGAATCGAAAGGCATGATTGCTAGAATCGTGAATCAACATAAAAATCCCGACTTTAGTTATGTGTTTAAAAAATTCTGATTTTAGTTAACTGTATAATTAAATATGTCTTTAGAAACATGAGTTCAATCACAGTTTATATTGTTTCAGAGTTTCCAAATGTATTTTAAGTACAGAATTGGAAAGTAAAATATGTCTCAGAATAGCGGACAACTTGAAAAGGGTTTTTGGAGATGAATTTAAGAGCTACAAGTATGCAGTGAGATCTTCTGCAACAGGTATTTATTTTTAAATTAAATATTAAGAAAACATGGAAAATACTAAAGATTAATTAAAAGAAAAAAACAAAAATTATAATTTTTTTTAAAAAAAAACCACTTAAAACTTTTTTAGGCACCTTAAAATAAAAGAAAAAAACTTAAATACGTTAAATTAGAGTAACAAGCAAAGAGTACAAGTAAAAATATGAGTACAAAACAAAAACGTTGCGATTTTAAAGTACATTTTGAGGAAATCGAAAATCCAAAGTAATCGTAAAATTTTGACCACGAGCAGATATACGAAAATTGATAATACACATATTGATTATATACATACAACATGCAACTAATACATACAACATACAACTGTGACATATTGATATTGATACACATATTGATAATGATTGATAATACACATATTGATAATACACAAATTGATAATACAGAATTGATATAACACAAAAATGTAAGAAAATTGATTTAAAAATAATTAAATTTTAATGAAAGGTATAAAACTTAAAAATGAAGGGAAATATTATAACATTCTATAGAAATAAAGAGCGTTGAGAAGAACCAAACGGGAAATCAAATTTCAAATGTTTGCACAAAAAATGAATTTCAAATTATACTCATTTTAAAACTATTAAATCTTCAGAAAGTTTCCTTTTACTTTCAGAACTTTTAGTAATAAATTAATTTGTTGAACAAATTCGATAATATTATAATTTTTTTTAAAGAAATAAGTAAAAATTTATTCATATACAGGTAAAATCCATTAAATCCATTATTGTGTCACGTTCCCTCCCACCAGCCGCTGTCTCTTCTTTTCGGGACATTGCAATCCCTAAAGATGTCTGGAAAAAGAAGTTAGCTATTAAATAATATATAATACATTAAATTTATGAACTAATAATAAATATATTTTAAAACTTTCGAAAAAAAACTATTTTGAGATGGAAAATTCTTAAAAAAATTTCAGAACAAAGTAACAGAAAAGATAAAAAAAAAAAAAGATAAAAGAAAAGAGAGATTAACCCTTTGGCTACTAACTGGACTCATTAGTCCCAACAAATATTTAAAAATTACTAATAGGGTGAAAATCACTTAGAAACTCATTGTAATATGTCCCAGTCGTAGAGTCGAACCAAGTATGCGTGTTTCATGAGTCAAATATCCCCTAGATAGCGCTAAAGAGTTTCTTGCATGAAATAGCATAGTGATTTTGAGCTTGGACAGATATATCCCTACTAGTATTCTTCATTGGGACAGATATATCCCACTCGTATTCTTCATTGCGATTGTTATGTCCATTAATATTTTATTCATATTTTCTCAAATGAACATAGAAAAAAGAACAAATATGAATTGTCCAATGCGTAATGTCGGGTTATGCAAAGATTGCTTCACCTTGTATCATACCATGTAAAAAAAAGTTCATATAATAAATTTTTCCGGAATGATAGATGTGCTTGCAGTAAGTCGATCACTACAGGTGGGACATATGTATCCCACCATTAAGTACGGGCGGGATATATATGTCCCAGCCTCTAAATTGATACTAAATGTGCCTTATTCGTGACCTATTTTGAAATTTTGAATAACAAACGGGGCAAAAAAAATCATTTTTTAAAATTCGTTGTCAAAGGCTTAACGAAGAAAAAATAATAAGTTAAATGTACTGCACATAAGCTGCAAATTCATAGAAATCAATCTTTTTTTCAAATATTTTTTTCTTTAAAATTTCTTTATTCTTTTTTCTCTATATTTTCTCTACATTTTTTAGTTTATAAATTTCATTAATTTATGTTTGATTTACCTGAAACAGAACTACATATTTTTTTCTCTTAAATGCTATTTCTTTAGGCGAGGATACCGATGTAATGTCTGCAGCCGGTCAAATGGATACTTATTTGGGAGTTCAAGGACTAAAAGAAGTAATTTTTAGTTGACCACCAAACCTCTCCTATTCGGTGTAATTTTTCAAAATTTTAAAATCTAATAACAAAAGTGTTTCATTTTTTATAAAAAACAATTTCAGTGGAGCAAAAACATTTGCTTTTAACAAAAAAATATTATGAATATATTATATTTTGATTTTAAATTATGCATTTGCATTATTTTTCTATCTAAATTAGTTGACACATTAGAAATTATCAACTTTGATAATTAGATAGACATATACTTACTTATAGACATATACTTTAATGACATATACTTACCATTTTCCAAATGGTATTTTCTAATCATACGTAAGTGTACAGCAAACACAATTTCAGGAAAGATTAGGTTTAGAGTAAAACGCTGCTTTTTAAAATGCTTTTATTGTTACTCCTTATTTCACTAGAAAAAAAGCATCAAGTGTGTTAACAAAATAATTTTATCAATTTTCTTTTTTAATAGACTTTTATTGCATATTATTAAACCCAATTATCATAATACGTAAATTAAATATAAATTTTTGGGAAATCGGTTAAGTCAGTACGATTTATACGTAAAGGAATTATATTATAATTTGAATTGAAGGAATGATATTATAATTTAGATATTTGGTAAAAAACGTTTTGGTATATTTTACGTAATATTAACGAAATGGATTTTGCCAACTGCCCTTTAGTAAGATTGCTTTCGCATATTTTACCAAAGATAGACGAAATAATATTTGTTATTTAGATTTAGTAAAAATGATTTCGTGTATTTTGCGAATTATTGACAAATCAAATTTACCATTTAAAATTTGCTTTCGAATTTATTTGAGAAAATCTTCTGTTTTTTGGATAACCATTTTTTTTAAATAACTCAATGTTTCAACTTAAGTAAATTTTAATGCATTGTTGACATAAATATTATATAAAAATTACGTAGTCATTCTTATCTAGTAAAAAGTGGTTGGTATTATATTCTTACAAGAAACGGATTTGTTTACGTAAAATTTTACTTTTTTTGGATAACCATTTTTTGCTATAATTCGACGGCTTAACAGGTCTTTGAATCTTACCTAAGACAAAATTTTCCGATGATTTTTCTATGATGGATCAACGCAAACAAGTTCGTCACAGTCACAAGCATCCATCAAAAACCATATTACTTTTTGATGGTATCTTTAAGACTCAGCCTAACTCCACATTATGAATTGGAACAGCATTATATTGGACCAATATGAGCAAAACCAGCATGGTTTGATGGTTTTGTTTAATGGCCCAACAAAAGTAATCTATTATGAATCATCATATGTCACTGGTTTCTAACTTAATATTATCAAAAATTAACTTATTCTTTGATGGTATTATAAAGACTGAGTATCACCCCATGTTAAGCTAAGTTATCCCATGTAAATAATAAAGATAATAGCATGATGGATGAACCCTCACAATACTAAAATAAGATTTTCCATCTTGTTTCGATGGTTGCTGGTTGTCCAACAATAATAAACATAACATGATGGTAGAACCATCATCATAGTAAAACATATTTTATCATATTTCAATGGCTGTTGTTGGTCCAATATTAATAAATACAACTTGATGGTAGAAATGTCCATACATCTTCCATTACATTTTGATGGTTGATGTTGGTCCGACGAATATAAACATTACTTGATGCTTAACTATCATTATGGTAGACAGCATCTGCTACCTAAATTTGATGGTTGAAGTTGGTCAATTAAAAATCAAGCATCATAGTTTTTACCGTAGGTTTACCATCATAGCACTAAAACAATATTTTAAAATTTGTAATGATGGGAGTTTGTTGAGCCATAAAAAACATTTAAACTTCATATAAATTGGAATATGATGGTGGTCATCAACATACCCTGGATCAGGAAGAATCGTATTGAAACCAACATAAACCATCAAATTCTTTTGAAGGTACTATCTAGAAATTTGTCTTGAGCAGCTACCCTATATTACCCCTCCTTCCCCCAATGTTACATTTCAATTTTTTTCTCTATATTTGAATTGCTAAGTGGTATATTATTCTGTTTTATAAATCGCTCATAAGGCCAATTTAACTCATTATTTCGTAAATTTTAACGTTTTAATCATAATTATTTTTATGCAGATATTCTACGCAGTCAAAAAATGTTGGGCTTCTCAATTTGGACATATAGCTGTTGAGTACAAAAGGTTCGTATTTTATTATCCCATATAATTGTTGATGAGATATACTTAATTTTTATTTACACACACACACACACACACACGCGCACGCGCACATTTACTTTTAATAGGCAGTTACATTGAAAATATAGATATGCAAATAGTATACTGCAAACACAAAAAAAAAATATATATATATTGCGGCAAGCTGCAAATAATTAATTAAAAAATGTTAGGTAGTTTTCTAGTTTTAGCAATCACTTCGAATTCAAGTTAAAATGTTAGAAAAATTCAATTATAAAAGTTTTAAAATGTGGCTTATTTTACATATGTAATATACTCTCTTATTACATATGTTGCTGGCAGTCAAAAGGGAGAAATCTGAAATTCTCCAATGGCTCATTGTTGTCTTTCAGCCATTTTCTAGTTTTAGCTATCACTTAAAGTTGTAAAAATGTTAAAAAAATTCAAATAATAACGTTTTTTTTAAATTTATGATTTGAAAATTTTAAAGTAAAGTAAGTATAAATAGGAACGTTTCAGGGAAAAATATTATTTTTTTATGAAACATTGTTATGCGTAAAAAATGTGGCTTATCTCACAACTAACTCTATAATTACCTATGTTGTTTGCAGACAAAATGGACAGATTTTAAATTCTCCAATGGCTGTTGTCATTCAAGAAATGGTGGCTTGTGAAGTTGCTGGCGTTATCTTTACATGTGACCCTGTTAATAATAATCCGGATATTATCACAATAACGGCTAATTATGGATTAGGAGAGGTAACTACATCACTTGCATGTTCACTATTTTTCTAAGAGTTTAGTTAGATTTAATATATATATATATATATATATTATAGATATATA